CCCCAAAACCCCAAAACCCCAAAACCCCAAAACCCCAAGAAGATGGAAAGATAATGAAAATTACAGCTATTAATAATTATATCGACTGAAAATTATATATCGACAAGTAAGCTTGAAAATTAATTAACAAACTATCTATTAAAATATGAAAATCTAGCGTTAACTTAACACCACCTAGAATAGCCCTTCACGGAGGAAATTAAATCTAAAAGCTAGTGAACAATTCAAGGGGTTGTTAAATATTAAGGACATAGAGAACAGACTGCATCAGTTTCAAAATAACTCTACCATTAATGGAAATAATAACAACCACAATCTTTCATTCTAAACTTAGACCAATCGCTCTATAATAAAACATAACGAATTTCCTTAGACTCTGAATCAACATTCTTATATGGGATTTAATGACTCTACAGAAATGCCAATTGAAAATTCAGTTGAGAGATACAATCAGATGCAAACATACTTGCAGAATCATGATGAACTACTGATGAGGGAGTAGCTTAATAAATCTAATCTTGAGGTGAGAAGAGATGTGCTATTTACAAGACAAAAGTATCGGCAAAAAACTCCTCTGAGATTAATGAGTACCCCCAAATAGGCATCGTTACCCTTTATTTAGAAAGATATGGGAATATTAGTGGGTTAAAAGAGTTTAAATCATAGCTTCAACTACTTTGATACTCAGATAAGAGAAGAAGATGGACAGCTAGAAGGAGAAAATCCAGTCATCAATATAAATATCAATAATAACACAGTTGGTAATGAAAGAGTTAATAAATATGTGAGGAACTAGATGAATAGGACATTCATTTCGCCTGAGTAGGCTGCAAGTGTAGTCAAAGATTATATTTTGCCAATGTTTGAGAATGATGGCAAGAGACTTTTAAAGAAAAAACAGTTAAGAAAACTTACCCAGCTTAAATAGAGGGTAAGTTAGCTCAACATAGAAACTTAAGCTGAATTATCTAGCACAATGAATATTGAAGGTGGAAAATCAGTAGATAAAACTGAGAGAGAAAAATCGCATGACAGGGATACTTAGATAAAATAACTAAAACATCCTCAACATTAATCTACAGTTTACTCAGAATTAAAACTATCATAGTTATTGTCTGAGCAGATAAATCAACTTAAAAATGAAATCCTGCAGCTTAAAGAAGTAATCTAGACTTAGGAATATGAGAAGCAAAGGCATATTCAGGAGAAGATCAAAGCTAAAGAGAAGTATAAAAGAGTTTAGAATTCACTTTACACTCTTAATCATAAGTAAAAGCTGAGTGAGCTGGAGAGATTAAAGCTCTCACAAGAAAATGAGCTAATGACAAGCTAGATATGCTAACTGAAAGAGCTGTTCGTATATAATGAGAGAAGTAGGATGGAATTCAGCGAATCTCTGCAAAAAGAAAAGAATGTCAATGAAAAACTAGGAAATTCTCATATAGAGGTTAAGTAAAGACTTTCTATATTGAAAATGGAAAATGACATAATGGGCGAGAAACTGCAAAAATTGTATGATGCAATGACAGATCTGGGAAATACCAAAATGATAGAGGATAAACTTAACTCTAAATTATTGATTAAAGAGTCTTAAATGGATAAATTTACAGACAGGATAGAATAGCTAGAAGTCTAAATTAACAAAGTAACCATATTTGTAAACATAACATTTCATAGTTAGTCCATGAAAACTAAGAATAGTTAATACTTTTAAGAGAAGCTCTTACTCATAACACGAAGCTGAGAACTTAGAAAGATCGCTAATAATTAGCTTTTAAAGAAATGCAGTTAAGACTAGAAAAGGAGAGAGACTAGGCTGTAACTGTAAAGAATACTAAGATTGAAGAGATTATGGAACTTAATAAACAATTATTAACAGCTAATAGTGAGAAGGAAAAACTTAAGTTGAAACTAATCAAATTGAAAAAGAGAAAGCAGATAGATTTGAACTAGAAAACATGCAAGAGTTGTGGTTAAGACTTTATGGAAAATGAGAATTTTAATTGGTCTTGCAGAACTCATAGAGTAAAATTTCTTAAATTGAGTACTAATATCTATATAGAGTGAGTACGGAGGAGAAATGTGGTGGTGTTGTGGCAAAAGAAATAAGGATGCAGCAGGATGTAGATTCGCCAAGCATGTTTCAAAGGATGACGAAGAGGATGAGAAGGATGATGAGGAAAAGAATTTGGAATAAATAGAAAAAACTTAAAAGTGCTTTTGCTGCAAAGAAATAGGGCACAGGACTGAAAACTGCACTAAAGACCCCAATATTAGATAACATCACGATGTTGAAGATGAGATGATAAGAGTGAATGACAAATCACATCTTAAAAAAGTATAAATATTAATCAAACTCAAAACATAATAGTTAAATGGAGATACTTTTGAAGTTACAAGTAAACTAATAGAAAAGCTAAGCAGATCTAAGCTAGACAATATGTTTGGAAAAGATGTGATGCTATTTGATGACTATAATTATAAGATGATTAACGAGATAGTATTTAATGCTCAGGGCTCTACATTTCAATCTGAGGAATCTTAGTCGATCTCATCATATGTAAATTTAACATACTCTTTATAAGTTTAGAGTTCTTTAAACATAGGAAGTGCTTAACATTAACCAATACTTAAAAAGAAGAAACTTTACAACAAATTACAAATAGAAGATATCACAGAAAAATAAAACTAAGACTAGTTTCATCATCTAGTTTCAATAAGAAATCAGTCAATAATAGAAAACTTAAACTAAAAGAATTTCGTGGATTTAGAATATTACCTGTCTCAGATGAGTAAGGATCTAAGAAGTTCATTCATAAGAGATAAATCAAAGAGGTCATAATCTCATACCACCTCCATTTAAAATCAAAAGGCACTAAATAATTCCAACTCAAGTTAAATTCTACTGCTTAGCAAGAGTAGACAGAATTCAAAGAGACAATTAGAGCTTAAAGATAAAGAGAAGGAACCACCCAAAAGAGTTCATAGGCATAATGAGGATGAAGATCCTTTTGAAAGATATGAAAGAGAAATGAGAGAAAACAATGTCATGGTAGTACCAAATTTCTAGATTGTAGAATAGCCTGATGGTTCTTTAAAAGTAGCACCTCTTCCTGAGGATTATAAGCCTAAGGTTGCTCCATAATAACAAATGCCTAGGCGCTCAGGTTTTAGATAGTCTGTTATACAAAAAGATTTTAAAAAAGAGGAATCAATAGAAGCCAATAGAAATAAGGAAATATCAATATAATCGCTTGATGAATCAATTAAAGTAAATAATAAATAGAAAGAGAAGTAAGAAAGAAAAGAATCAAAGGATACTAATAATAATACTCTTAATAGTAACGGAGGAGGGAGCAGTATCTAGCACAAAGAAAGAAAGAATTCAAAGGATAAAGGTGAACATAACAAGAATGAGGATGGTGAAACTGATCAGCCTACTAGAAAAGCATCTTAAAAAAGAAGACCTTCTAATCTTCAAATATCTGTTAGGTAGAAACTATCTGGGGATTTACCAATCTTGAAATAAACTCCCCCTGCATAGTAATAGTAATAATAATTGCCAATATCAGGGCCTAGGAAGAGCAAGGAAAGGCTAAAATAAGAAAAGAGGATACTTGATATGAAGGACAGAAAGAAAAGCATTTTACTAAATCATTAAGTTTAAAAGATCCCTGATCCTTAGCAAAAGCAGGCGTATTTAATGAAGTAATTGATAGAAGAGACAAATAAACTTAAGAGAAAGAAAAGTATCAGAGAATCAAGTGACTTGCCTCACTTGATTGATTTAATGAGCAAAACAGTAGTAAACAGCCCTGAAAGAACTACTATTGAAAAGGATGGTCTTGGTACTTTAGAAATGAATAAGAGAAAATCTACTGAGTTTCGAGATAAGCGGCAGTTTAAACACAAATTGAGGAGAAGTCACACTCGTGAAATAAAAAGAGAGGATTTATTCCTTGAACATGATAAACATAAAAACCTCTCACCTTAAGCTGAGAAGACTCCAAGAACAGGATTTAACTTCATATAATCTTGAATTAAATTCCAGTGAGTATGATCATCTATTATAGATTATATTAATTAGTCAGATTTTCGGAGGAATTTAATTTTTATTTCATCATGTTTTCTCACATTTTATTCAGCGGGGTTTTGGGGTTTTGGGGTTTTGGGGTTTTGGGG